ACATGACAAGAGAGTGCCCAGACAAGGAAGAGACAGTCTCCCATGCACTCTCTGATGCCTGATATCTGATGTTCATTTCTCAAACATTGGTGTAATCACAGGTTCTCTACAAAATATATTTTGACTTTTACTTCTGTTTATTTCCATCACATGCATGGCAGTTTCACTCCTCCAGGAGAGTCTTAAAATTCTATTTTAATGATTCTGACCAAGGATCAAAAACAGTTGGAAGAAATTCCAACACTTCCCCATATTAATTCACATACTCATTTAAACAGATTTAAATTACCAGCTAAAGGCAGTGGAAGATATATTTCTTAATTATAAAACAGATAACTGCACAATTATGAAAAATCCTTCCTAATATAAAAACATGTAACATATGCAAGAGTTTATGAATGGACAGTGGGAGCTGGGCATGAGGAAGGCTTTACAGGAGAAGAAAAACCAAGGAGCTCGTGGGAACAAACCTGAGAGGAAACTGCTCTACTTAGAGAGCAGAGTGGACATGAAGACCGCCAACATGACACCCAGGCATCTTAAATGAAAAAATGGAAAATACACAAGTATGGGAAACTCAACATGTTTGAGTTCAGTCCTGGACAAGAAGCAACGGGGCTGAGACTGTGCACAAACACAGAAATGTGAGACTATAGGAGCTTCCCAATAAGAAAACGCCAGCAGTTGTTTGGGAAAAGACATCTGTCCTCCCTTGTCATTGGTACCTTTGGTTTCAGGGATTGTAGGCTCTGCGTAGTCTCTCTGAACCTCCATTATTCAGACAGCTAACTTCTCCCTCCCTGGAATGCCTTCTACACAAGACTGTTGCAGTTTTAGGAAGGTTTAAAACCACCGTTATATAGGGTCTTGTTGACATGCAGATTCCTTGGCTATGACATAAATCCCCGAGACCCCCAAGGCAGGCTCACTAGGACAATAAGCCTGCTTCTGTTGAAATTATCAGTAAGATTCCAGTGTACCAGGACCCCATGAAGACTCTCCAGGAAGTGTCAAAGATGCTTATGACTGTATTTCCACTAGGATCTCTTCCCCTGACTTTACATAAGGCTTTCACATTCTGAGGCCAAGCAATTGTCTCCAAGGCCTTGTGTCTGCTGAATGGTGAGGGAGGGATTTCCTGCTGTGGGAAATCCGGGCTGGTCTATCAAACAGAAGAGACTTTCAGGTCCACAACTGATCATCTTCTGAGAACCAGGATCTTAGACATTGCCTCACTTCTACTGTCACACCGTTGTCAACACTTCCTCCCTGGGTGTGTCTGTCTGTCCATTCAGAAAATGGGCATGTCTATTGTCATGCACAGAACCAAGTCTCCCTCCTTTCTGTCTGTCTCTGTCTGTCTCTGTCTCTGTCTCTCTGTCTCTCTCTCTGAGACAGGGTTTCTCTGTGGCTTTGAAGGCTGATCTGGAACTAGCTCTGTAGACCAGGCTGGCCTCAAACTCACAGAGATCCTCCTGCCTCTGCCTCCCAAGTGCTGGGATTAAAGGCGTGCGCCACCAATGCCCGGCTCCCTCCTGTCTCTGTGAGCAATAAATCTTCCACAACCTCCAAAGCCTTTGTGGTCCCCGCTGTAACATCACTGTGGCAGCCTCTCCTTCTTTCAACCAGCCTTTGTCCAAAATCAGGAGGGAAAATGTTTTTCATTCATTTGGCCATAAATGTGTACATCACTGGACAATGTAGAGTTTAGAGTTGCCTGGTATGGAATTCTGTTTTCACAAATTTTATTAAATATATTGATCTGTGTAATTGTGTGTGTGTGGGGGCACCTGTATGTCAGAGCAGAAGTGTGTGTCAGTGGACAACTTGCATTCATCAGCTCTCCCGTCCCACCATGTGCATCTCAGGGTCAGACTGAGGAGTGCTATCTGTGAATCCCTTGGCTCTGGGTAGTGGGTAGACTGCTCACAACTATGAGGAACGTGGATGACAGCAGAAGACAGGGAGGTGACCTGGACCAGTTGTGCAGCATTCAGTCCATGTCATCCTCAGTATAGGAAGCTCCAACAGGCCACGGAGACGAGCTCAACTTTGACACACATTATGGTCTCTTTGAGATGATGAGAGGTAGACAGTATTAATAATGGCTAGCCAGGCATTTGTGCAAGAAATTGTGGAACAGATTGGGTCTAATGATAGTATTAACAGAGTTTAAAATTCCAGATGCCCACATTCCCTTAACCTGTCTTTCATGTGCTGGTTTGATGTTGGCCTTCTTTATTGCTATAAATTCTTACAGCAAAAGTAAAACAACAAAAGTCCCAATTTATTACAGTGGAACACACATTAATATGTTCACTAGAGACCATCCAATGGAAAGATTCTAGCATAAGAGAGGAATGGCAAACCAGATGTCTTAGCTCAAGGGAGCCAAGACCAGGCACCCCAACCCAAATAAAGTTCAGAGGAGAATTTTATCTCTCTGCCACTGAAGTGGGTCTAAGGAAAACAAGCACAGGCCTGTAACCTTGACTACATTGCCGTTTCCCTGCTTTGTCATCTTCCAGCCATGGAATTTAAAAAGCTCCGAATTAACAATTATGGTCTGTGTAAATATCTGACCCTCACTGGAAATTTTCATTCACAAGTAAATGTTTGTCACACTTCACTGAGGACGAGAAGTAGAGGTGAGAGAATTTTAGAAGCTTCCATGAAACCTCCCACTTTGCCGCGTGCCGCTCCGTAAGATGTCACAGGGTTGCTCTTCCACCTCCTTTAACCCGGAAGTACTGATTGAACCTAGCACACTGCCGTGCCAGGCAAGTTCTCCGTCTCTGAGTTAATTCCATTCACCTGCTAGACCTAGCTCAGGCATCAAGATGAACTTTAACTGTCAATTTGGCCACCACAGGACTGGTCTATGTGAGTAGCTGACAGAGTGCTTTCAAAACTAGCAATGTTCATCTGAGAGAGAAGATGGACTTCAATCCACACTGCTCACTCTGGAGAGGTTAGTCTGAGAAAGGATGGCGGTAAACCGGCATCTAGCTGCACAAATGCAAGGAGAAGAAGCCATAGGAGAAGAAGCCATGATAATCTGTCTTGATCATTTACCAAAACATCAAGAGCTATGCCGAGGACCCGCATGCAAATAAGGCATGGCTAGACCCAGGCTCCTTCCAGAAAGTGGAAAGATGGTCAAGGAGGCCCATGCCACGTGGTTGTAATTGGTAGTGTCGAATGATGAAGTCTCAGTTAGTTTCCAGTGTGGCTACAGGTATGACTTATTGTGTTAGTCAGTTCAGAAATAGAAGGTGACCAATGTCACAGACAGTACCTGAAGTCTACCCACTCCTCCAAATTTTGAGCTCTTAAAGCTTTGGCTGGACAGTATCAGACTGGAACACACTGGGATATGTCCTTCACACATTAACTCCAGACTATCCGTCTGAGAAGTCACATCGATTCCAGGGGAACTTCAACCAGAATAAAGCCCTCATCTGCAGTGAAAACTTCCTCAGTATCCTCTGAGAGCTGCTATAGTAAAAGAGTATCATCAACCATCCCCCTTTCCTAGTCTTGCACAGACATGCTTTCCATCAGAGGCATGCAGCTTTTGCTGCAGGCTCCACATACCCATGCTAGTCTGCAGCTTCCTATTAACACTGCTTAGCTGGTGCATCAACAGGGATTTCTTAGCAAACCTACATCCCCAGGAGTGTCTTCTCAATTCTGCATTTCATCTATGGATGTAACCTGCATTGTCATCTAGATGAGAGATGACATGACTGCTTCAACCTTATACTAAGGGATGTTGAGGAAAGATCCTGAACCCAGAGGCACTCTACTTGAACGTCTGGGAACCCAAGACAACCTCCCTTGCCTACCTCATGGACTGGTCTCTAAAATTCCCAAGCAACAGCTCTCTTCCCTCTTCTGGTCTCTGTGGAAACTACATACTTATGGTATATAGGCAGCAGGAAAACTAACAGTACACATAAACATAAGTAAATGAATTTGAAAAGATTTGTGTGAAATATGTAGTCCAGGCAATAGCACCTTAAAAGACTCTGTGTCCCAATATGCTTTTGAGGGTTCTTTTCTCTAACTTGCCATTATCGCTGGTGCTATCTTTCAAGGGAAACAGAAGCAGATACATGTGGGTTTCTTTATTTCTTTTATATTCCCTTAATGAAGGTTGTCATTTCCTGAGATGCATTGAAAACACAGATGTATTTCTCAATAATAATACATGCATGATCATGTCATGAACATGTGTGTATTTAGACTCCATATTTTGGAGTAGCAAACATGTCAGGTGTCAAATAGGGATCTTTTTGTATCATGTTGTAGGTATCCATGGAGTAGGACATGCCATTCACACCAAAAACACCAACCCTCTTTGTAGCTCTGTCTGTCTGAAAGTTGCAGAGATCCATTTCTGTCTGTTGAATTTTGCAGTTACAGGAATGTGACACCACACTTGATTAAAAACTCTAGTTTAAGAATGAAGAGTTCAATTTTTTTATTTAGGAAAATATAGTCATTTGATCAATAGGGGCTTAGACAGGGCATTTGATACATAAAACATATAGCCTTAGCAAAATATCAAATATAAAATAACAAAACATAGGGACAAAAAATAAAACTTTCAAGCAAAACAAAGAACACCAAAATCTCAAAGTAAACAAACTTCAAACCAATAAGCCAAAGAAGAAAGTTAAGCTAAGCAGTATTTTCAATAGTCAGATTTAGTTGTACTGACTACATCCCATGTCCAGCTTTGGACACATACTAGGAAGGCAGCCACAGATTGCAATAACCTTTTCATGACAAGTAGAGCCAGGCCACTTTGGGACTTTGAAGGTAATCAACCACCAAGGATGATCCTATAACATGTTGGCCATTATATTCTTTTCATCACCATATGTCTAAGTTCCTACTCAAGACCAAAAAATGTATATGTATATGGGGAGCACCTGTTTGTTGTCCAAAGACATAAAAGGCCACTCTGACATTCTCTCTCAATCTTTTCTCAGGACAGCTCTCTTCCATCAAGGCAGTGAAACAGGAGAATCTGCAGTCGATTTCATAATGGAAGAACAAATGATGAGAACCAGCGAGGGACAGTTGTCATCTCTGTAGAGCATTGACCTCAGCATCCCAGGTACATGACATGCTGTAGCTTCAGCACTGGACAGGATGAGAATTTGATGTCTGGATGGCAGCACGACATCAATAGTCTCTCTTGACAGATTTCCCTCCAAATGTGAAGGGCTGAGGACTCATCAGCTGACAAATGCTCTCAGCAACAAACATTCAGAGTAATTATGAGCAGATATACATCCTCACTCCATCTTGTTGTGTCCCAGCGCTGATGGATGTCCAGGCACTGAGTAATTCTTGGCAGGTATTTTTGGTATATCGTGCTTCTTTCTGGTGGTTTTTTTACTCCACAAATAGTGAGCCAACAACACATCAATAAGATTACAGATAGACCAGCTACAGGGAGGTTGATATTTCCCTCAATGCTGAGTTTACAGTAAGAAGGACATGTCTTGTTTTGATGATGTCTTGATGCCGTCATGGAGAATGTTACGGTTTCTGGTTGTCTGTGGCTTCCTTCAGCCTCCTCAGTTCCCTGAGAAGATGCTGTAAGAGAAAGAAAGGCAATCAGATCCAAAAGCAGCCATTTTCTGTCAATGACTAGACAAAATCAGGGCCCGTTCACACATAGGACACCAGAGTCAAGATGAAAATCCACCCCTCGAATGCCATGATTCCTGGAAATGTGATACAATTGTGAGTCACTCGCCTGTGACATTTCTCTGTCTGCAGGAGACTTTCATCATGTCCTGAGATCTTTTCTAACTCATGCTGCAGTTTTTCTGATCTGGAGGAGGAAGGAAGGCAGTTAGAGCACAGTCTTAGTGGGGTTCTGCCATGTCAGCTGTCAAGCTGTGACTTCACAAAAACACATTTGTACTTGACACTCAACATGGATCTTTTGAGAGATGCCATTGTTTGTATCCCTAAGGAATATTTTCAGCCTATATAACAAGTGTCACATGTTCATCTGAGTACTGTATGTATATGCTCTATGAGAAAGAACAGAATGTTCTCCAACAGTCTGGGGACAACATTGTGACAAAAGGAATAGCATATTAAATCCTTGGATAACAGCATAGTTGACAAACACAGAATATTCCTAATACAATATTGCAGCTTAGACAATGGGACAAGGTCATGGGGCATGCCCATGCCTCCTGTCCAAAAGGAACCTTACAAGCAGGCAATAGGCAAGACGGAGCCTATCATGGTGGAGCAACATTTCCTCAGATGTGTGCCTGAGAACACAGGCTCTTCAGGGGGTCTTTCAGTAAATAAAAACAGCCTTGTTTTCCTTAGGATAGAAGATGGGAGTCTACATTCTGGTTCTCTACAAGAGCCTGTTACACAACAGCCTGTGAAAGTTCTGGATAACCCTGCAGCAGAAACATCAGTCTGAGATCATCTGGCAATGACTAAACTTACTAGATCTATAGAACACTTCACATGGGAAATGGTCAAACAAAGAAGATAGCCAATGTTATATCAATGTTATATCAAAGAGGAACCAAGGGTGGGACTCTCATCCCTACAGCTTATGTCCCTCAATGAGAATGCAGAGAATGGAAGGAAGAAAGGCCACATGCCATCCAACATGGTGACAAAGAGAATCACTCATTTGACATGTGTAGTAGGCTCTCCTCCTTGCAAGCTGCTTCCCCTTCCCCCACTGGGATCTCACACGAACCCTGCAAAGAAAATGAGATGGAACTCCCTCCCTCATGTCAGTACATAGCACTCCTCCATCACAATGCCATGTGAGTGTGTGAAGTGCCATTGACCCATCTCCCTGCTTGAGCTGCAGCTTCAAGAAGAGCAGCAAGGTTTATTTGCCAATGGATTCTTACAAGAAACTCACTGCCCAGAAATACTGATGCATGGACACAGAAATGAGCAGTTGGATGTCATGAGAGTGAGGGGGATGAACCTGTGTGGGAGGGCTAGTAAAGTGATAAGTTAAAGCACATTTGGGTGGATGGGTAGACAGTAATGTTACATGAGGAAATGGTGCTGGACCTAACCCTGACCCAGCTGTTTTTTCTTACCACCTGCTCCTGGGTCTGGAGTCTCTGATGACTTGTTCCTGTTCCTCACAGACCCCTTTCAGTTCTCCCAAGTAGTACTGCAGCAGGATCCATTCCCCCAGCACCTTCTTGGTCTCCTGCCTCACTCGGCTTGTCCATGACATACTGCCCCTGAGTCTTCTCCATCTGGAGTCTGTGCTGCAGATGGCTGGAAACACTCTCTGTATAGTGAGCCCTGCCAGGCTCCTCCTGTCACCCCTGCCGCCATAACCCATCAACCCCACTGGTCCTCAGGTTCCCAAAGGAGACAGAGACAAGAGGTCAATGCAGTCACGCCAGCTACACTCAGGAGGCAAAAAGGAGAGAACACAGAACCCCAGAAAGAATCAAACTATTTATGAATATGCCAACAACAAAAGAAATCCAAGTGTCTCTACCAATGGGAGTGCATCCTTCAATGCCCTTAATTGACTGTGGTAACGGGGCAACATCAGGAAGTAGGGAAGGATTCCATTCCAAGGGAGGATAGGAGATCCAGCGTGTGTAGAGGACTCATGGGGGCAATAAGCTTCTGCCTGATACCACTCTCATGTTGCCATTTGTTCTTCTACCTAGAGAAATGTTCCTCAAACTATGGGTCATGACTCCTTTGGTGATGGAATTACTCTTTCAATGGGTGGCATCTCAGATATCCTGCATAACAGATACTTACATCGTGATTCATAACAGTAGCAAAATTACAAGTATACAGTAGTAAGAAAAATGATTTTAGGTTTGGATTTCGCCAAAACTTAACAAATTGCATTAACAGCACTGGGAATGTTGAAAGCCATTGTATTAGATTTTATAAGGATGAAGTCTAGGACTGAAGCAGCTAACAGTCTCACAATTAGCCAAACTGAGTGTCAGAGGCACAAGGCCAAGAGATGCTTGCTAAGAATGTTTGCTACGAGGCATAAAGGCTAGAAACAGAGCTGTGGACTCTGAAGTCCAGTGAAGACAAAAGGCAGAGACAAACATTTCACAGATCTGTGGTCCCCTGCAAGACAGGCACTAACCAATAGAAGAGTGACTCCTTGTCGAGCTCATCAAATTTATCTAAGGTTTCAGTGTTCTCATTCTTCAACCTATGCAGGTCTGCCATGACCTGTTTATGCTCCATCTGGAGAATTAGGCTGTTGGTAGGGCATAGACCTAGAAACAAAGAACTCCATGAACAACGTTTTCATGGATCACATGAATTCAAGCTGTGTACAAGGCTACTGGGGCCAATGGAATGCCACACCCTGACTCCTTTGTAATTGGATTGATTATTAAATTAGTTGTCCTGACCCTAGGCCAACAGAGGCAGGATGTTTAGGTGAAAGGTGGAGGCTGCATGAGCTCTTTCAGTAGGACTGTTGAAACAGCTGGAAAACTAATTCCTTAATGTCTACTTCAGGGGGTATGCCCACCAAAAACTGGTAGGATGTTTCTTCTGTCTTCAAAATATAAGTTCTCAATCCTGGTGCCTGTCACAATGGAGGCCAAAGTCATTCCATGAGGATATTTGTGGATGGGACTCAACATTTTGGAGAATGGAACTCATGATAGATCTATAAACTCTCCAATGGCACTAAGTTGAGCACACTGGCAGAACTGCAGTGCTCAAAGTGAGGATCCCAGTGCTGATCACGGGTATCACCTGGGATCTGTGAGACAGGAAACCCCTCATGTCCAACCATAGACCCCTGATTGCAGGGTCTAGGGGAGAAACCATGCACAAATGCACCAACACTCAGACAAGTGCACCACAGTGTGTTTCTGTATGTGTGTGGGTTTCTATGTGTGAGAGAGAGATAGAGACAGACAGACAGAGAGAGACAGAGAGCAAGAAGATGCTACTAAGGGATGTTCAATAAATAGTTGCAGGTGTGTCTTCTCAGAGAGGACCAAAATGTGCGGGGATGTCCCAGGCCCTGTCATCATACACTGAGATGTGTGACAGGGCTCTCCAGCTGCTCCATGTAGTGCTCATCACCCAATCTTGCCAGACACATAAAGAATCATCACAGCCAGGTGTTGGTGGTGCACACCTTTAATTCCAGCACTCGAGAGGCAGAGGCAGGCGGATGTCTGTGAGTTCAAGGCCAGCCTGGTCTACAGAGCTGAGTTCCAGCCTCCAAAGCAATACAGAGACACCCTGTCTCGAAAACACACACACACACACACACACACACTCACACTCACACTCACACACACACACAATCATCACAAACTCACAGAAGATAACTCATCACAGAAGCTGCCACTTGACAGGATCTGTCCATGTGCATCCTGGGAAGTCACACTTCTGTCACAATCTCTGAGTTATGTGACTCAAGCTCCAGCTCTGGTTTTCATTTGGAGGAAACAGTAATAGTCTGTCCCCATCTCACCCCTGCCAGGTTTCAGGTTCTGCTTCTGATGGAGCATTTAGAGATACGGTGTTGGGCAAAGGAACACCCTTAAAATGTAGATACCCAGAAGCTAAGATCTTAGATGAAATAAACTAAGGGTGAAATTGTGGAACCAAGTTGGTCCCCATGGCATTGGAAACAATGAATACCTGTTGTCGTTGGATCCTTCAGTGATGGAGATGAGGCAATCTCACAGCTCCTTTGTTTCTCTGGTGACTTGCTCTAGCTGACTGGTCAGAATTTCCAGTTCGTGCTCAACTCCTTTTTGGTGAGGAGAGTTGAGGGGAGTGATGGCTCTCCAGCAGCCCCTGTGGGGAGATGAACACAAGTCAATTTGCATTGTGACAAGCCATAGAGGATATACAGATCACTCTGGGCCCTAAAAAAATCTTTGAGAAATGTTCTGTGCCTTTGACTCAGTGACATACCGATGGATTTTGACTCAGGCTTGAGAAGCCCCTCCAGGGGATCTCAGCTCTCCCGTCTCTGAAGGTAGTTGCATGTCTCAGCCAGCTGCTTTCTCCTGCCCCCTCAGCACATACTTCCCTTAAAGAAAGAAAAAACTTCCTCAGGCTTATTCACAGCTGCAGAGTCTCCATTCAACTTGCCTGCAGAATGCACAAGTCCGCGGGTTTAGAAGCTAGGAGGTACCCCAAACACCCTGACACGTCACTCCAAGCACATGGCTACAGGTGGAGAAGCCATACCAGTGCAGAACATGGTCACCAGATTCATGAAGTCATGTCACTGACAACCAGGGCACACAGAGAAGGGGCACAGTACTTAAAGTTATCCCCTGGCGTTGAAGTACAGTGATGCCATGCCTGGAGCTGGGCACACTCCACTGCCCCCCCCCACACGCTGGTCTCATTTTGATGCTGGCCCTCCATCAACCCTCACTGTCCTGTAAGATTGACAGTCAAGAGCTCCCAGCAACAGCTTTTGCCTTGCCAATTCCTGGCTTCTAGGAGAGAAAAATTACTACCCTAGAATCCTTATCTTCCAGGAGCCCTGTCAGGCAGCAAAATCCAGTTTCTTCCCAGAAACTCCAGTTCCTGTGCCCCATTACCGGAAGGTCACCTTCTCCAGGGAGCTCCCCATCTCCTGCCCAGGACTTACTCTTCCTCCTCTTGAACCATTTTTTTTTGATGGTTTAAACTGAGGCTGAAGGTCAGCTTTCTTCTGCCTCTCTCTGGTCTGTCTTCCCTCTCCATTTTCTCTCCTAAGGAGATTCCTCAGTCTTGCCAACATGTTCATTGTTGAACCCTAAGGGCACTGAAGGCCTCACCAAAGGCAGTTGGTGTTGCTACAACACAGGTGACATCACAGGCTTCCATGGTCTCCAGGATATAAGAGAATGTTTGGGGAAGAGGCCGCTGATGTCATGTGAAACGAACATGGCCTCCCTGCTAACCAGCTTTCCTCTTAACTCAGCAGAAGTCAGGTTTCCCTATCCAGGAATCTCTGCTGGGACACAAGGCAAACTCTGTAGCATGTCCTTCTTTCAAAACCAGAGATCTTTGAATGATTGGAAATCCTTTAGTATCTTCCATATGGGGAATTAATTCTTATCTCCTACTGAAATTATATGTGCACAAGGTAATGGTATGATAGAAATTCATTTATGGCACAGTCATCCACAACTACCAGCATCTCCTCATTTACAGGAAAGCATGGACTTGAGACGAAATCTTCTTAAACAACCTGCTGGTAGTCTACAGAAATAATGTTGCCAGTAGGTAAGCTCACTTGCTTCACATTGGTGATCACTGGCATTATTTGTGCACAGTACTTGGGATATAGAGGAGATCACTCTCCAAAGGATCCACTTTGAAGAGTCTTTTATAATACACCATGAGTTATACATAAAATTATAACTAAAATTTCAGTAGACATTAGTATTAATGCTTTTATATGATGCTTCTGCAAAGGATAACAACTATATATATTATACCCAAATTACTCATACTCCACAAAAGAGTGTCCCCTCTCTTGGGTATATAGCTCTATAGTCTGAACTTGATAAATCAAATCAATTAGACATTGCTGATCCTTTGGCTATTTTAAATCACCTTATGTATAAATTTTCACATGAAGGATAGAGATACACTAAAAACGGAAATGGCCAAATTGAGAGAAAAGAACTTTGACAAAACTTTTAGACTATAAAAACTGAGTTATGAAGTAATGAAAATTTCTAAACTTTTTCTAATTTCTATTTTTCCATATTTTTATTAATTTTTTCATTTATTTCACATTTGAGGCACAATTTTCATTCCTTCTCCTCCTCCTATTCCCGTCTAACCCCATGCACTCCTCCTACTCCTCCCTTCAGAAAGGGGGAGGCCTTTCATGGGTGTAATCAAAGCATGACGTAAAGGTGAGGCATGGTCAAGCTTCTCCTCCTGCATCAAGGCTGAGCACAGCCATCCAACATGAGAAGTAGGTTACCTAAAGCCATCTAAAGTGCCAGGGACAGGTCTAGTCCTGTAGAGGGATCCTGGTCCATCCCATTGCAAGGAGCCCCACAAGCAGACCAAGCTGCAAGGCTGTCACACACGTGCAGAGGGCCTAGTTTGGTCCTGTGCAGGCTCTCTAGATGTTGGTTCAGAGTCAGTAGGCTCTCATGAATTCACTTCAGTTGTTTTTGTGGGCTGCTCCATCATTGTCTTGACCCCCACCCACTGGATCATATGATCCCTCCTCCCTCTGTTCAAGAGGACATCCAGCTTTCTGCCCAGTGCTTGCCTGTGGATCTCTGCATCTGCTTCAATAAATTACTGGGTGAAGGCTCCCTAATGACAATGAGGGTAGTCACTCATCTGATTATAGCAGATGGCCAGTTCAGACACCATCTCCAACTTTGATAGGAGTCTTAGCTACTGTCTTCCTGTGGAGTCTTGGGAGTTTACTTCATACCAGGCTTCTCCCTAACCCTGAAATGCCCCCATCAAGACATCTCTTTCATTACTTCCCCCCTTCTTCTGGGGCCCAAGACATCCAACTTAAGCCCTCATGTTACTAGTCCCTGTTTTGTCCCCCACCCCTAGTTTACTCTTTAATTCCATTTTCCAGGGAAATCTTTGCATTCCTCATTGAGTCCTCCATGTTAACTAGCCTCCCTGGAGCTGTGGATTGTAACCTGGTTCTCCTTTACTTTATACCTAATATCCATTTATAAGGAGAATATACCATGTTTGTTTGTCTGGGTCGTTACCTCACTCAGGATACTTTTTTTTCTACTTGCATTAATTTGCCTTTAAGTTTTGTGAAGTACTACATTTTGTTTATCCATTCTTCAGTTGTAAGGCATCTAGTTTTTTCCCAGGGTCTGCCTATTATGAATGACACTGCTATGAACCTAGTTGAGCAAGTGTTCTTGTGGTATGATTGAACACCCTTTGGGAATATTCCCAAGACTGGTATAGCTGGGTCTTGAGTCAAACTGATTCCCAGTTTTCTAAGAAACTGCCAAATTGATTTCTAAAGTGACTGTACACGTTTGCACTCTCAGCAGTAGTTCAGGAGTGTTCTCCTACCTACACCTTCTCCAATGTAAGCTGTTATTAGTATTATTGGTCTTAGTCATTCTGACAGATGTAAGATGGAATCATGGAGATGTTTTGATTTACATTTCCCTGATGGCAAAGAATGTTGAACTATGCGTTAAGTGTATCTGGGTCATTTGTGATTCTTCTGTTGAGAATTCTCTGTTTAGATCTGTATCGCATATTTAATTGGATTATTTGGTATTTTAATATCTATTTCCTTGGGTTCTATATATATTTTGGAGTTCAGTCCTCTGTTAGATGTGGGGTTAGTGAAGAACTTTTCCCATTCTGTGGGCTGACTTTTTGTCTTATTGACGCTGTCCTTTGCCTTATGGAAGCTTGTCCATTTTTGGGTCCCATTTACTAATTGTTGCTCTCAGTGTCTTTGCTATTGGTATTCTAGTCAGTAAGTTGTGTTGTGTGCCAAGGAACTCAAGGCTACTTCTCACTTTCTATTCTATCAGGCTCAGTGTGGCTGGATTTATGTTGAGGTCTTGCTTCATCTTTGACTTGAGTCAAGGCAGAGTGGTAGATATTGACCTCTTTGATTTCTTCTGAGTGCAGTTATCCAATATTTCCTGCACCATTTGTTGAAGGTTATTTCTTTTTTCCATTGTAAAATTTTGATTTCTTTGTCAAAAATAAGGTGTGTGGATTCATATCAGGGTCTTCGATTCAATTTTATTGATCTGTTACTCTCTAGTCATTAATTCAGGAAAATTTTATCCTCAAGAACTCTGATGCTTTTGATGACTGGTAGCTCTGCCAGCTTAAAGCAGCAGCCAAGGCTCCAACCGTCACAAAGCAGATTTCGGAACAGGTGTTTTAAGGTTTGTCTGTGTGAAGACAGGAAAGTGTAAGATGTGTAAAGGTTTGAGTATGCAAGTTATGAAGGTCTGAGCATAAAAAGTCTCAAGGGATGACAAAAAAGCGATTTGAGACATTCAAAAGAATAAAACATCGCAGATTTCTCTCTGCTGTTCATAGTCTTAACAGTAATCAAAAAGTTCTGATAAGCCATTAATCCAACTCTGACAGGGTATTAAACACCATAGTATACCACTATACAATCATAACTGTAAGCTCAAAATTAAGGTACTTTTCATTTTGTTAAAGATATCTGTCAGTTTTAAAAATGTGAATGCTTTCAACCAAATCATTTCTGACATCATACTGCCAATTCTACAATGCAAATTTCAGTGTAGGTCATAAACAATGGAAATGCTAATGTGTCTAAAATTTATGTTTTCACAAATTCAAAGGATTCTTGTAAGTTCCAGGGAGCCGAATTGGACCCAGCCAAACAGGTCAGATTCACTCCAGATAGATACTATCCAACCTTTGCCTGGTCCTGGGACTCCCTTCCCTCACCTTGGGACCCCCTAGGGAACCCTCACCTTAAGATCCTCCTCCCCTCAAGTACCAGAAACTAAGAACACTTTTTTCCCCTAAACTTAACCTTGCCCTCTGCTCTGCCAACGTCTTCCCAGGTCTAAGAGGTTCCAGAGAGTCCCACACAGCCTGGACTGCGATGAAACAACCAGCTACCCCAGGACCTGGGGCACCCCAGCTTTCTCAGGTCCCCCACAGACGGTCGACATCCCCAAAGTCAGCAGGAAGCAGTCTTGAGAGCTCGACGCCCTTACTCCCTAACCTGACGTGCCATGCCTAGCTCCTCACCTTTTCACTACTAAATAAAAGTGGGAATATACGGCCCTGGGTTGCCTGGCTATGACACACGTTACGGGACTGCATAAGGACTGTGCATACGTGTGCAAGCTTTCCCACCTGTCCGGACCCTTTCCTCTGTCCCCTTCCTATCCCTTCTGTGGCCAACACCTACCCCCCATCCACTTCATTCCCTTACCCCAATAAACTCCAGGAGACTTTTATTGAGTTTTGTGGTGTGTGGTTCATCGCTGCAGCAAAACAACAACGATAGCTCTACAGTAGAGCTTGAAGTTAGGGATGGTGATGCCTCTGGAAATCATGTTATTGTACAGGACAGCTTTTGCTGTCCTGCATTTTTTTCCAAATGAAACTGAGTATTGTTCTTTCAAGGTGTGTGAAATTTTTTGTTGAAATTTTGAAGGGGATTGCATGGAATCTGTATATTGATTTTGGTAAGACTGTCATATTTACATTTCAGCATCTAATGAGATGATGATATGGGATTTTTTTTCTTTTAGTTTATGTTGGATTATATTCAGATTTTCCTATGTTGAGCCATTCCTGCATCTCTGGGCTGAAGTCTACTTAATTATGGTGGATAATTGTTTGGATTTGTTCTTGGTTTCAGTTTGCCAGTATATTTTGTTTGTTTGTTTGTTTTCTCGAGACAGGGTTTCTTTGTTCTGGAACTCACTCTGTAGACCAGGCTTGGCCTCCAACTCACAGAGATCCACCTGCCTCTGCCTCCCGAGTGCTGGGATTAAAGGTGTGTGCCACCACCACCTGGCTAGTTTGCCAGTATTTTATTGTATATTTTTGCATCAATGTTCCTGAGGGAGATTGGTCTGTATTCTCTTTCTTTGTTGCATCTTTGTGTGATTTGGGTATCAGGGTAACTGTAGTCTCAGAAAAAAATTAGTCATGTGCCTTCTGTTTCTTTTGTGTGGAACCATTTGAAGACAAAAATTCTGGTAGAATTCTTCACTGAAACCATCTGGCCCTGGGCCTTTTTGGTTGGGAGACTTTGTAACAACAACAACAGCAACAATAACAAAATGAACTGAGAATACTGCAGCATT